GTAAGATACTTAGGGCAACCTAGATAGATTTTGCTTAACCTGAGCGTTCAAGTTTTTATTTTAATAAAAGGTACATCTGTAGTCATCATGACTGACCGACACGACCAGGCCAAGGGCAGCACCTGAATCCACCAGGAGCCTCAGAACAACAATTCAAGTACACCTGAGCAAACTTGCTATCGCGCTGCTTAGAAGTACAGTATTGCTGCCAGCAGGGGCTCTTCCACGGCTCACCTCCTAAAGACACATCAGGGAAGGCACTGGAAAGAGAAACTCAGAAGGTGAGGTCCAGGTGTTACCATAAGCAATGATGGACTCACAAGGACAGGGTGAGACACAGGGAAAGGAGAGAAAAAGCAGGAACGTGAAAAAGGACAAAAAGAGCTTCAATAGTGCTAAGTCTGGTAAAAGAACAAATTTTTACTGAATGTAACAATTAGCAATGAAGACATACACACAAGTTTTATCTATAGACTGGCAGAAAATTTAAAATCATAATCATATAAAAATAATCTGTTTCTGCACAATAAATATACCGCTTCCCCTCCTCTTTCAGGTTGATTTAAAACAATGCAATTTAAGGATATCTTAAAAACAACAAAGAATCTTAGTTAAGAAAATATTTACAAAGTTTTCCTTGCAAATCTCTATTTCTGAACAAGTGATTTGGAAAAAAACCACCCCACAAAACTCCTCAATGATACCACTGACTCCTTAAATTTAGAGGACCTGTAGAGTCCAATCCTTGTCTCACCATCATTTTCTTGACTCAACAAACAGAAAAGACAGCAGCCCTGTGGTCAGCCTATCGGTTCCTTTAAACAAGGACAGCTTTATCAGGAGTTCCTGCATCAGAACAAAGGGAGAAAAAACAAAGCAGGACGAAGAAGTGAGATGGACACCTTGTACTCCTGATCGTTGCAAAGGAGTTTCTGAGCCACGAAGAGCTCTTGCCACCCTGATCAGCTGGCACTAAAGATAGGAGATAGCACTATCTGAACACGTGCTTAAGATGCTTCGGAGAGAAATAGTTATATCCAAGCTGCTGCTGCAGACAGGAGGTTCTTGCTGAGATTACAATCAGCTGTGTGAATGAGCACAGAGACAGAACACATTTGGCTAGATCGCTTTTTGTTAAGACCTGTCAGTGGTACAGGAAAGGAACAAAATTGCCCATATAATGAAAATGGTCTCATTTGCAGCACTGCGATAAGTAGTATTTATCATGAATCTTGGATTCCTTGTGCTCCGGCTGCTACTGCAGCTCCTCTGGGATGGCATTAACGTACCATTTCTCCATGGCTCCTACTTATCTCAAACAGTCTCTGCTGCAAACAGGTTTTTTACCCCTGGCCCGTGAAATTTCTTGAATTATCTGATAAGGGAGAGTTTCAGCCATGATCACAGCACGTACATGATTCTGCCCAAATGTTATAATAAAATGCGGGTCAACTGTGCTATATGCAGTAGTGTGAAGTATGACTTCAGGGTTTTACCAAAACTTCTTTACAGAGACCTATAAAAGTTGAGCATAGCTTCATCATTCAGGAGAAGCACACTCATGCAATCAAAATAATCAGAAGCAATTTCACAGAAAGGGGTATGTATTTTTAAAAAGTTATATTTATCTAAGGTCCAGCACCAGGCAAAAAACATGAATATTTAAGAAAGTCAGACAGCAGCACATTTTAAAAAACAACAATAATAATTAGCACACACTAGCTTATATTCTCAAAGAATTTTACAAAAACATGAATTAATTAAGCCTCACACCACCCTTGTGAGATAGGTAAGTATTATTAGTCCCATTTTAGAGACAGGGAAACAGGCATGGAGAGAGTATGACCTGCTCACCACCACACACGTCAAATCCAGGAATAGAACACCAGAATTTGCAGTTTTCTGCCACACGTGGTCTGACCTCTTAAAAGATGCTGGTATTTGAATAAAATTTGTTTCCTCTCATCCCTTTTAAGACACCTGACCCCATTTCAGTCTGATATGAAAAGGTACCCACCAAGAGCTATTCATGATAAACAAGTGGAAGTAGGACATTTATTATTTTTTTTATAGACTGTGTGTTGCTGGAAGCTGTTTAAGAGAAGACTTGACATGGGTGCTTCCATAGTGTCAAGGTCTAAGACTGTCGTTTCCTATCAGGGAGCTGCCACCAGGAAACTCACTGAGGCCTATATGCAATGCTGCTATATAGCTCAGAATCTGAAAAAAAAAGGTGAAGTTTCTTTGCTGCTTCCAAACAAGGAATCTCTCTCTGGCAGGGAGTCTTCTCTGAGAACTCATGCATACAGCTGCACTGAAGACTTTTATCAGGAGACTCTCAAGGTGCAGCTAAGAGCGCAGACATATCTGTTGGAAAACCTGGAAATGCTCATATATTGTGCTCTGTGTTAAGAGAGATGGTCTGGAGGCATCAGCCACCCTGGGGAGTAGAAAATAACTCTCCATAATCACTCTGAGAAGGCAAGTTCCCTTAGCATATCACTCTTGCACTGAACTAATCAGCGACAGACTAGGATTAAAAATTCAAAACCACCTTGTCATGGTTTCAGCTGGGATAGAGTTGACTTTCTTACTAGCAGCTGGTACAGTGCTATGTTTTGGATTTGGGATGAAAATAGTGTTGGTAAAACACTGATGTTTTTAGCTGTTGCTAAGCAGTCAAGGCCTTTTCTGCTTCTCTCACTGCCCCACCAGTGAGTAGGCTGGGAGTGCACAAAAAATTGGGAGGAGACACAGCTGGGACAGCTGACCCCAACTGACCAAAGGGCTATTCCATACCATAGGATGTCACGCTCAGTATATAAAGCTGGGGGAAGAAGGAGGAAGGGGGGAATGTTCAGAGTGATGGCATTTGTCTTCCCAAGTAACTGTTACGTGTGATGGAGCCCTGCTCTCCTGGAGATGGCTGAACACACATTCACAGAATTCACAGAATTGTTAGGGTTGGAAGGGACCTCTGGAGATCATCTAGTCCAACCCTCCTGCCAGAGCAGGGTCACCTACAGCACGTTACACAGGACAGCGTCCAGGCGGGTTTTGACCGCCTCCAGAGTGTAAGACTCCACAACCTCTCTGGGCAGCCTGTTCCAGTGCTCCACTACCCTCAAAGTAAAGAAGTTCCTTCTCATGTTAAGATGGAACTTCCTATGTTCAAGTTTATGCCCATTACCCCTCGTCCTATCACTGGGCGCCACTGAAAAAAGACTACTCCCATCCCCCTGGCATCCTCCCATTAAGTATTTGTATGTATTAATAAGATCCCCCCTCAATCTTCTTTTCTCTAGACTAAAGAGACCCAAGTCCCTCAGCCTTTCCTCATAAGAAAGGTGCTCCAGTCCCCTAATCATCTTTGTTGCCCTTTGCTGGACCCTCTCCAGCAGTTCCCTGTCTTTCTTGAACTGGGGAGCCCAGAACTGGACACAGTACTCCAGATGCGGTCTCACCAGGGCAGAGTAGAGGGGGAGGATGACCTCCCTCGACCTGCTGGCCACACTCTTCTTGATGCACCCCAGGATGCCATTCGCCTTCTTGGCCGCCAGGGCACATTGCTGGCTCATGGTCATCCTGTTGTCCACCAGGACTCCCAGGTCCCTCTCCACAGAGCTGCTCTCCAGGAGGTCAGCCCCCAACCTGTACTGGTGCATGGGGTTATTCCTCCCCAGGTGCAGTACCCTACACTTACCCTTGTTGAACTTCATAAGGTTTCTTTCTGCCCAACTCTCCAGCCTGGCGAGGTCACGCTGTAAGGCAGCACAGCCTTCTGGCGTGTCAGCCACTCCTCCCAGTTTTGTGTCATCAGCAAACTTGCTGATGGTACACTCTATCCCTTCATCCAGATCATTGATGAATATGTTGAACAAAACTGGGCCCAGTACTGACCCCTGAGGGACACCACTTGTTACTAACCTCCAACTAGACTCTGCGCCACTAACCACAACCCTCTGAGCTCTATCTGTAAGCCAGTTCTCAATCCACCTCACTGTCCATTCATCTAAGCCACACTTCCTAAGCTTTCCTGTGAGGATGATGTGGGAGACAGTGTCGAAAGCCTTGCCAAAGTCAAGGTAGACAACATCCACTGCCCTCCCCTCATCCACCCATCTAGTTACTTTGTCATAGAAGGCTATCAGATTAGTCAGACATGACTTCCCCTTGGTGAATCCATGTTGACTACTTCTGATAATCTTCTTTTCATCCAGGTGCTTTGAGATGACTCCCAGAACAAGCTGCTCCATCATCTTCCCAGGGATGGAGGTGAGGCTGACCGGCCTGTAGTTTCCCGGGTCATCCTTCCTGCCCTTTTTGAAGACTGGAGTGACATTGGCTATCCTCCAGTCCTCAGGCACCTCACCTGTCCTCCAGGACCTTTCAAAGATAATGGAGAGAGGCCCAGCAATGACCTCCCCCAGCTCCCTCAGCACTGGAGGGTGCATCCCAGCAGGCCCCATGGATTTATGTATATCCAATTTATCTAACTGATCTTTAACGTGCTCCTTGTCAACCAAGGGATAGTCTTGCTTTGCCCAGACTTTCTCTGTTACCTGCAAAGTCTGGGTCTCACAAGGACTGGCCCGAACAGTGAAGACAGAAGCAAAGAAGGCAGCGAACGAATTCCTCGTTTTGCTTTGCTTGTGTGCATGGCTTTTGCTCTACGTATTAAACCACCTTTATCTCAAACCACGAGGCTTTTTTTCCTCCTCACTTTTACCCTTCTGATTCTCTCTCCCATCCCAGCTGGGGGGAGTGAGCAAGCAGCTGCATGGTCCTAGTTGCTGGCTGGGGTTAAACCAGGACACACCTGAAAATTCAAGTCGGATTCAAGAGATTTAACTCTATAAAATGCTAAATCTTGCAGATCCACCGCCTCCTGTTTGCAAACCCAGGCCCAGGTGTTAGTGGAGACATAGAGATAAAATCAGTCCTTCCACCTTCAGTTACATATGTCCATCAGACACTATCTAGAGTCCAGGAAGTTAGTTTCACGACAGCTCAATCTGAAGATCCTCCCCGTACTTTCTGATCAGTTTCATGTGGTTATGGTCCACTGACCATTGCTCTGGGAGGTGCTTGGGCTGCATGCTGTCCAAGAAATGCTGCCGCCAGCGTCTCTCCAACTGCATAAGGGAGCGCAGGCCTCCTTTAGCAAAACACTGCACCACCTTCAGTCCATGTGGCATGTAGCTCTCATTGCAGATCCTGCCAGGACACAAGCAGAGTTTATTTTCACACAAGCTCACTGTCAGAATCTAGACCTGTCTACAATGAACAGCAAGACACTGAAGATACTTGCAGCTGCAGAATCTAATTACAGACACATGGTAAGCTAACCAGGAGGGAGAGTTTTAAGCTTTGCTTCCATGCCAGACTGCTTTCTGAAACACAGTTACACTGGGAAGCTGGTTTCTTTGAACTGAGAAAGTGTTCTTCTTTTACAGCAATACTAAACAAAGCTCTCAAGGTTCATTACGAGCTCCTCAGGAGACAGACTGCAAATTTCTCAAGGCAAGAACCATATGACATTCCAGAGCCCTGATCCCGCCACTTAATTCCCTGCCTGGATAGGTTCTGAGTTATAACATTGGCACATTACAAACAACGGTGAAAATACTGACTTCATGCAGAGACCAGATACTAGTTAAGAAAAGATATTTGGGGAGGCTTTGAGAAAGAGGAAGAGAGGAGACTTCTGATATGATTGTCTTTCAGTCTCCTTCTGTGATCTGACCTTCCAAAGGTATAAAACTGCGGAGGGGAAGATGGAGAACAAGAACAGAAGGAGATTGCTGGAAACGAAAGGGAAAGAGAGGAAGAAACCAGAGCTGCAGATCACAAACCACTGCTGGGTTGAGGGGAGAAGGGGGTAAACAAAAACACAGTAAGAAATGCAGAGTGCACTTGTCTGCTTAGAGCCTTAGCACAAACAATTATCTTCTTCCTATTCTTGCTTTCTAGTTAAATGTATCAAATTACTATAAATCCAGACTCTGCAGGCTTATACAAGTAATAAAGTTATGCTCTTAGAGGCTCATTTTTCCTGTGCAGATCAACTCCTAGTAGTCTCAAATTCAGACACTCCTTAACTCGACACCATTGTTTTAGGGAAGATACAGCAATATCTCAAGGAGACCAGCAACGAGTTTTGTCTTATTTTCATTAAAAAGCTTTGGGGGTGATGGGCGGGATGTCCGCATATGTGATCCTCAGCTCTGCAAATCCTGCTGGATTTTTTTATTTTGCTGCAGTAATATTTACCCAAGGCTCTGTGTGTAGACAACTTTTTGTCGAACTTATGTGCCAACATAAATTACTAAAACGTTAAACATCTACTGATGGGCTTGTTATACCTGGTTTCCAGACCAGCTGCTTCCTGGAGCATCTCTGGGGTGACTGCCTCTGTGTTAAAGAAGTCCTTGATGCTTTGCAGAAGTTCTGCCCTTCGGGGGTCAGGCAGGCTGTCTGCATTCAGCAGGGCTCGGGCCCCTGAGCGCACTTGCCTGCGCAGAGGGTCCTCCAGAAGACGTACACCTTCCTCAGAGCCGATGGGGGCACCAAACTCCTCAGCCAGCTGCTGCTTGAGATGGTTGTCATAGTAATTGGAGATGGCATGGCAGGATGTGCAGAGCAAGAGCACGTCATGGGAGTTGTGGTCCTTCATCTGGATGGGGAAGTGTCTTCGGTATTCATGAGGAACAATATTCTTCCTAAGGAAGACAAACCAGCCACCTCATTATATTTTTCTGGGGTTGCTATTCCCCAGTTCCTCCTCTTCCTGGCCCTCAAAGGGCCAACTAATACTAAAAGTCCAGGAAAAAAAGATCACCAGGGTCAGGACCCTCAGTGCAGCAATAGTTTCCGCAACTTTTTATTCGTACTTCTCTCTACAGGTTTTCTGCATTCCTCTTCCCCCCCCCTTCCAAAAATTCACCACTTTCAATTAAAAAAAGTGATTTATACTGTAAAAAAAAAAAAAAAAAAGCAATGTACTATGAGAAGCATACCTCTCAGCTAAACAGTAGCAGCTGCAAAGACAAAAATCTCACCCTTTGTGACCTCATGGGCTTCAGGCTCACCTAAACCTTTCAAAAATATTATGATTAAGTAGTGCAAGGAACAGTACAGCTATTTTCAGAAGGGGATGCCATCAGAACTGTGTGTGTTGGCATACTGCTGCCCCCTGTCATTCAAACTGCAGCACATACATGTTCCATTGGCACTGCTCCCTCCAAGAACAGATACCTCCTCTGCCTCTTTAAGAAGAGGGAAAGCTGGCCTGTTCAGTGTCAAATTTACTCAGACAAAAATGACTACAGAGCACTCAAATAATAATAACCCAATCCAGGTTGTGAACAAGCATGATGTTTCAGGCCACTACCCAAGCTTCCAGATGCCAAACTAGATGCAGACCTCAGTCCCGTTTTAAAAAAATGTGTTTTTCTCTTATCCCACTAAACGACTTACCGGATATAGGACTCTCGCTTGCCACATACAACACACAGGTTCTCTTTGACTGTCAGATAATAATCAACTTGAGACTCGGGACGTCCTGAAGGCTCGAACCGCAGCTTCACAACAAATGGGTCTGTGCTAACTAGCTCTGAAAGGGTAAAGGCAAACAGAGAATATTCAAGACCAATTTGTGTTTGAAAGCTAAAATAACAATGCTAAAACACAGGAGTTTTCCAAGTGTATCCCCAACAGTACTTTCAGTAAGAAAAGATACAAAAAAATCACGCCCAGTTACCTAAGAAACAAGGCAAGAAACCAAAAAGCGATGTACTTCAAACACCTATAGGCAAAGCGGTATGCTCACCACCAATCCCCTTGTCCAGATACCACTGGGCCTTCTTGCGATCACAAGTGCACAGGGGCTGTCCATCTGGTGCATGCAGGAAGCAGTTGTCATACAATGGAGATTTTCTAGGAAACAAGGGCAGCATTAGAGCAACTATAATAGCATGCCAAAAAACAGAGCTCTCTATAGCCATGCGTTCCACACTGCAATTCATGCAGCCGCCTCCAAATCACAGGAGTGCTCCTAAACACACACTTAAGGCTGCTGAGCGCGGCACAGGCTGCTGCGAAGAGATGCAGAACATCTAAAAACTTACCTGGGGTTCACCAACTGACTGTAAGGTAACTTTGCTCTCCTGCTGCCAATAGAATTGTAACTCTGAATCCCAGTTCAACAGATGCCATCAATGATGACAGCATATTTAAAAAAAAAAAAACACATTAGAAAACAAATGAGAATTTAAGTTAAGAACAATGAGCTAAAAGCAAGCTAAAAGAGAGTGTCAACTTACAGGCAAGGCAATTTCAAGGATCAGCTGCCTAAGCCCGTATTTTAATGTTTTATTAAGTTGACTTTTCTGAACCTTGGTGTGAACAGCAATGACTTAATTCATCCACGAGAAATATGCAAAAAACCTCCTGTAGCACTGGGAACCCAAACACCTGAGTCCATGGGAATAACAAAGCTGAGCTGAGGCCCTCTGAAACACATGCACCTAACCTTAGTCAGTGGTGAAAAGTCCTGCTTGAGCGGTCTCTGGTGGTTTGTGGCAGTGTGTGGAAGGGCTCTGTGTTGCAGAAAACATTTCTTTACTCTGCCAACCTCCTTCAAACAAAACTGAAGAGCAGAGCAGCCTGCGCTCAGGGACCACCTGGGAGGAACTGGCCAGGGATACGGACATGTCACAATACACTGTGGAAAAGTTTCCTTTCTTTCCAGCAAGATCATATAAATAAGTACTCAGCAGTGCTCTACCAGCTAAAAAGGTTGATTCACAGGCTATGTAATCTGACAAAAGGATTTCTTCTGAGGTCCACAGGGGAAAAAAATGCAACAGAACAATAACGATACAGGAGATCTCCTTCCACTGAGCATCAGCAGTTCGGTTCAATCACCATGATAATTTGAGTACTTCCCAACTCTAAATGAAAACATTAAAACTAAACAGGCTCACAAAAAGGAAGAGTGGAAGAGGACTTTTGAAATCACATCCTGTCTTATTACAGACCACGGCCAGACAGCTGGAGATACTGTAAAGAACAGTGAGTCTACAGATCTCTCAACAACTAACCATGGGCAGAGCTCAGTTTAGCTCAGAATGCAATTTTGTTTAAATTTTAATCCTCCCATGAGGTGCAGTCCTTCTGTTTTGTATGACACAGGCTCCAACAGAAACAAAATAAAAATCTGAAGAGACTTGCTGCGTACAACACAATATCGTTAATGATTGCTAATGAAATCAATATTATTGACTGCATTAAAATGCCTTCATTGCCAATCCAAAAGCTTGAAAAGGAGAAAACAAACACTAAAACGATGTTTTTTCTTTCCAAATGGTAACTACAGACAATTTTATTTCCTACATCCCTGTGATCAATTTTATTAAATTGCACCCAAGCAAACCCAAACACACTAGCTCTCCATGTACTCCACTACATTAAGCTTAAAGAGACTTCTCCAACTTGTTTTAATTTAAAACAACTGAGTTTTCACTAGCAAAAGGCCATAAGAATTCAGGATTTGCTCCACAAAAATCACCTGTGGGACAGGGATCCTGAATCCAGCAACAGCTGCCTCTGCAAGGCCAAAGTAGTACCGTTCCCTCCTCTCCCTCCCAGGCCAACACAGAAGCGCAGTGCTTTGATGCTGCGAAAGACTGTTCCTTCCTGTGCCCTCTGGCAATTCACATTACACGTCTCACCCCTCCTAACTATAGGTTTCAGCTCTGCTCAGTACCCTGACATCTCTGTGGCCACAGTGACCTGGGGCAGCACAGTACCAACAGCGGTCCACAAGGCAGATCCTGCTGACAGGACAAACTGTGCAGTTGCCACCTTCTCCCTGCAGGAGACAGGGCACAGCTGTTTGAGCAGTAAATGCCACTCAGACAGCCAACCGCCTCCTGCTGGGACTCTGCTCTCCAGCTAATGCTCCTCCATAGGAGAAGGAAGGGCAAAGCTGAAGACAACCTGCTCACGACCGGGTACAGATCCAAGCGCTGCCCCAGCTTTCAATACCACCTAGAGGGAAATGGGGAAAACATAAACAGGGTCTGGTTCCCATGACCATTGGGTCCTGCGTTTCCTTTCCTAGCTCCTATTATCCACTTGGTTTCATGAGCAAAGCATAAGGCACCATTCAAAGTTTTCCATCTGCAGCACAAGGAGTAAAACGTGCTCATAATCTTACCGTGCAGAATATCCCATGCCCAGAGGCTTTCGCTTGTGCCTCCGCGGATCTCTCGCTTGCTGACTGCCAGAGGGATGGCCATTCACTGAAGATTTCCGATTCTTTGTTTTCTGAGGGGAACGTCCCTCTCCACCCTTCTCCTCTCCTGTGCTGCCACTCCTTCTTCCTCTAAATGGGATATCCACCAAGCCCCGGCATTTACCCAGTGCTTTTTCCCAAGCAGTGACAGAGCTTTCACCTTCAGATGTAGGAGGGAGGCTGGCGAATCCCAGCAAATGGAGGAACAGAGCCACCGAGACCTGGGCATCCCTAGCAGCATAGAGAACCTGCAGAAAGCATAGGCATCAAAGTACTGACAAACAGCAAACACTCAAACACTACGTTATCAGTCTTTAACACTAGGGACTGTAAAGCCAAAAGTTGGATTTCTTTTCTTTTGAAGTTCACGCAAGGTTCTGGCAGTTACATGACACTTTCATAACATCACCCCACTCCAGGTTTTTAGGGTCAGTCAGGCTTAAAATATGCATGGGTGCCCTCGGGAACCACAAGGGGCTTAAAAAAATTCTGGTCAGCCAGGCCTTAAACATCCTCCCACCCCACCAAGACCTCCCTAACTACAAAAAAAGCTCCCTTTAGATACACTGTCTACAAATACTCAGTGTGGTTATTTATCCTGTCACTCCCTCTACCGGTCACTGATTTTGTAGACATCCACAGCATGACTGTAAAGAAAGTGAGCAATCAGGGAAAACATAATGGTCCAAAGATGGTCTCTCTTTAATATTGCACTGACTGCTATAGATTGGAGGAAAGAAAATAACAAAAAAGTGAGGTTTGGGTTGCACGAACACTTCTTCAAGGGTTCTTGCCTTATAGATCTTTCAGGAAAACAAGGGCCAAGAATCCAGGGAGAACAGCAGAAAATTACCTTGATGGAAAAGGAGGGAAATGCAGGCACAGAGTCTGAAATTAACTTCAGACCACAGTCACACATAAGGTTCTGAGGCAGAACTCAAAGAAGGCTCAGATCTCCCTATGGTAATGTCTCTTCTCTACTAAGAAGGTTGCTTTTCCTCCCAAAACACTAAGTTGAAGTGGAAGACACACCTGATCTTGTGTCAGTTCTTCTGCCTCCCAGTTGCTGCAACGCACATGAGGAGACTTGTCAAGCGGGCAGTTCAGGATTTTTTCAGCTAAAGACTTAAGGCTAAGGCAGTTGTGAAGTAGATCCTTCCTTTAGTTTAACAAAGAAAGTGAAACAAACATATTAAAAATGAAACTATACATCCAGGAAAATTTGGACGGCCTCACACACCCTGAACCTGTCAGAACACAATGGACACGATGCATGACTCCCACTCCAACAGCACACAGCTGCTTGTCAGCTTTACAGTCCCACTCCCTCCCCTCTGCCAAATTGTCCTTTCTAGATTTAGTAATTATCTAGTGCCTGCAATATGCAAAACAGGCAAGGCTGGGAGTTGATAACATTTAAGGCTGAAGTGTTTGATGTTTGACGCTGAACTACCCACTTCTAAACTAAAGAGGTCTATCACAGAGTGATGGAGCCCCTGCTGCAGGGATGCATGAGAGCCAGGAATAACTCAGAGAAATCCTGGCCACTGGAGACAATTAGTCCATCCTCATTAATAAAAAGGCATTGTCAGGTCAACAAACCCATGCCCCAGACCACTAACAACATACCTAGGCATACATATACTGTATGTGAAGAATATACCCAAATAAAACATTGTATTTTAGGAATAATGAAGGATGAGAAAATGGCATCGTAATTTTAACCTTTTAATGGAAGCATTGTTATTAGAAGAGAAAATTAGAGATGGTGTATTTTAGTCATTTTTCCAGAAATCCTGTAATTCAATAGTTCCACTTAATGCGCCCCTGGCACATTTACCCCATACTTCCAGACAGTGTATCACATGGTGATCACTCTCACTGTGTTACATCACTGTGCCTGGAATTCTTAGAAGCTGAAGCATGATACACAGAAAAGTCCATACAGGTATTGCATGAGAAAACTAACAGACACAATTAGCATACGAACTCTTCACGAAGATTTCACTTCCATTAAGACCGTAGAACAGAAGCATGACATGTTCTTCGGTTGCAGCTGTCAATGCTCATGCTCTAAAATCAGGCTGAGAACTCCAAAACTACCTGCCTTGTATCATTCAGCATATGCAAATGACTTTTAAAATATTTCCAACCCAAATGATGCCTCAAACAGAGCTGCCTCTGTCTTCAGACACTCACCGCTGTCTCATGGCTAAATATCGGAGATCCACACTCCCTTTGACTGGAAGACTATAATCATGAAGTAACTTGCAAGCATCTTCCCAGCATCCTACCCCAACTTTCAACACAGCACTATCTGCCATGATGTCCACCAGGGTCTTCGGGATAGTCTGTCCATTGGCAACAAGCCTGGGCAACCGAACAAGAATGCAGAGGCCACTGGAAGAAGCCATCTGTAGGAGGGATACAGGATTTGCTTTTCCTTCCACAGATACCTGAAATAAAGACAAAAATCAGAGTCTGGGTTATAGTATTATTAGCAATACCGGAGCTGGAACAAATTGCAAAAGAGGCCACTGAAGACAGGAAATACCTATCAGTTTATACAGTCAGTATTGTTAGGCCTCTAAATTTTACTGCAAATTATGTGATCTATTTCACAGTATTACTGTCCCCCGGCTATTTCTTGCCACACTCCTACAAAAGAAACTTTCCCCCTTTCACCCTTCCCCCTCATAGCTGAGCTGATGGAAGAAATCAGACACATTTCTTAATCCACATCAGCACAAAGCCACCCACTACCTAAACGTTTATGGCAAATTGTGGCTTATACTAATGACTATGAAGTGAATAAATTTCCAGCCAAAATAATAGCAAAGTCAGGCTTTATAAATGACTCAAAGCCTGTTTTGACAGTTCACACAGGCAAATGTACAAGTGGAAGACAAACTTTGCTTTCTGGTAGTCCCAGTGAGTTATATCTATCTATCAGTATTATCCTCCTTTTTGGGTTTATTCTTCTTAAGAAATATTTTCTTAAGTATGCAGCTGGATTTAAAACAGTGCAAACCCAAGCTACTTCTAGTAAATCACATTTTAAAGAGGTATTATACAAAACACATAATGCTGTATTTAGCCATACAATTATCACTACATTTGGCACAGTTGATTTATCACAGGAGTTCAGCAAATGACTAGAACTAGTGAATTAAAAACTTAAAGTCAGCACACTTAAATGTGAAAATCATCAAAATTAGCAGCTACTTCACTGCTGTCATGACAGATAATCACACAGGCAGTTTCAATAGTCACTCCTGTTGTATCTGTTCAAGCAAAGGAATCGCTCATACCCAGATGACTTCCCATTGCAATTTGCAATCTAAAGGAGAGGCGCTTCTTGATCACTCACCCACTCACAATCAACTCCAAGCACTGGCCACTTCTCCAGCTCCTTCTTCAGCAAAGGTTCAACACGATCCCATTCCTCCTGCTCTGAAACTATCACTATGTCTGCACCAAGGGTCCTCTCTACCCAGGAAAAGGTGGGGGATCTGAAGAAGGAAAGCACCTCCTTATCCTCTGCCTTAATCAGTTTCTCATCACCTGAGTTTACAACTGCTTCCTCTCGATGACTGCTACAGCACGCTTTTCCTTTCCGACGCTGGGTTGCTTTCCACAAAACCAGGCCCCCCACTGCAACACCCAGGAGGGTCGCCAAAGTAATCGTCACTGCTGTTTGCCTGGGCATTTTTTAATCCCCCTTCTCCCCCCTTCACTTCACCCACTCAAAACGGCATTGTAGGATTTTAATCATGGCCTGCAAAGAAAAAGGAGAGAGGTGGAAATTAAAGACAATTAAATGTGTTTAGAGGTATTAAATACACCTACTGGTATCAAAACAAGGTTCTAGCCACAACTTGCGAACCTGACAGGATTTAGGACCCAGGAGGATTTGGTCTCACTTTGATAAACTGGGCATCAGGGAACAGACTGCTTCAGTGGTGACCTGGGCAGTAACAGGAGAGTGAACGCTGCTGTTGATCACGCCACGAGAAACCTTAAAGGGAATCCACTGATTTATACCAGGGCAACTAGATGCTTCCACAAGCTTTCATATTAAAAAAAAAAAAAAAAAAAAAAAAAGCCAGGGCTATTCACAACATCTTTTTGCTTAGTTTGGAACCAGATCAGCCTAAACAAGGACAAAACGAGATTACTGCAGAATAAGCATGTCCATTCATGCATTATTAAATAATAGGCATTGTCCATTACACTCACATCCATACTCAGGTCAAACGGCTCTTGAGGCACTGAAAAGCCCTAAAGAAGCAGCGCCTATTTATAACACAGTTTTCCCTCTATCACACAGACGCTTAACTCCCCTTCAGCGAACGGACATCAATCCTGCCCCTCCATCCCCATCGCTCCAACCCGCCACGTTAGTTTTCAAGGTCGGCCCTTAGGCGCTCTGGGCAGCGGCTGCGGTG